CGAGTGAGCAAGAGCCTTCCTTAGGTCCTGGGCTGGAACTCAGACGCCCATTGCAAATTGCAACATGAGAACCTCTTGAGATTTGACGCTGAGGATGTAGGGATATGAGGCTGGCACAGCAAGCCCGCCTTACAACAGACGTTGACTCCTGCAAAGCCACGTCAAGTCCACACCCCAAGGTCGAGTGGTTTTCGGAGTGTGAGAAAGGACAGGGCATCGAAAAGGAGGTCTGGAGATCTAGTTCCAAGCCCCCCTCTACCAAAGCAACTTGGTGCCTTCCCTCCTGCAATTTAGGGACAGCATCTCCCTCGTAGAGAGACAGTGAGGACATGGGGTCTTGCCTGGAGAGCTCTGGCCTCAGATCGGCTACTACCATTCACTGCTTCTCTGACCTGATTTATTCTTCGTAAGCCAGAGGCTTCCCTGCGAACAAATAGTTAAGTAGAAATAGGGAGATTTCTCTCAACTGTGTGAACAGAGGCAATTGATTCAACTGCTTTCTTAAGGCTCCTTCCTGTTTCCTGTTTCCATGATTTTAAAACAAAGCACAACAAAACAGAAATCTCCTCGAAACTGATGCTGAGAGCCAAGTCAGCTTTCGGCACCATTTCCCCTCCAGCTCCGCCCACCAGCTAAAACTAAGCGTATACTGCCCTCTGGTGTCCACTAGTGTTACTGCACTCCTAGTGGCCTATTGATGCTTCAGATTTAGAATCAATACTTCATTCACACGTCTTCGTTCATTCACACCTCACACTTCTATTGATTGGTTCATGCTGGCCAGCAGCTGTGCTGTGCACTGTGGCGACAAAGATGCAGAAAGCCGATAGATTTCCTTTAAAGAGGCCACACTCTTGTAGGAGAAACAGATTAAAGACGAAGATAATTTTATTTTTACTTGTGTGTGTTTGTAGGTACGTTTATATGCTGAGACATCTTGAGACCCGCATAGGATGTTTGAATAGTAAAATAAGTGTAAAGGACCATTTAATCCTTTGCTGAGCAGTGCCTGGCTTGAGGGGGGCAGTGAGAGATGAGATCTTAGCAAGAACATGCTTTTGTTTGTTTTTGTGGTTTTTTGAGACAGGGTTTCTCTGTGTTAACAGTCCTGGCAATCTTGGAACTCACTCTGTAGACCAGGCTGGCCTCCAACTCAGAAATCTGCCTGCCTCTGCTTCCCCAGTGCTGGGATTAAACGTGTTTGTTTTTAAATTATGTATACAGTAGTCTATCTGCATATATGTCTGCAGGCCAGAAGAGGGCACCAGATCTCTTTACAGATGGTTGTGAGCCATCATGTGGTTGCTGGGAATTGAACTCAGGACCTCTGGAAGAGCAGCCAGTGCTCTTAACCTGAGCCATCTCTCCAGCCCAGTTGTTGCCCCTTCTCTTTTGCCTCACCTGGATTCCATTCTCTCTACCCTTAAGCTCTTTTCTCTCACAGTCTCCTATGTACCCCCTCACACATACCATGGGGGGGGGGGTTAAAATCTGTACTCCACATATGAGACAAAACAAAATACTTGATTTTCTACGTCTGGCTTGTTTCATTTAATGTAATGTTCTTCAGTTGCTATCCATTCTCCCATGATATGATTTCATTCTTATTCATGCCTGAATAAAATTGTTCTATGTTGCCAGGTGGTGGTGGTGCACACCTTTAGTCCCATCACTCGGGAGGCACAGGCAGGAGGATCTCTGAGTTCGAGGCCAGCCTGGTCTACAGAGTGAGTTCCAGGACAGCCAGAACCGTTGCACAGAGAAACCTGTCTCAGAAAAAAAAATTCTATTATATATATGTACTGTGCTTTCTTTTTGCGTTTGTATGTTGATTGGAATTTAGACTATTCTGTCTTCCGGCTATTGTGAATGACGTGGCTGCTCAAGTGTTTCAAGGATAATCACTGAGAGCCCTTTGGGCACATCCCCAGGAGAGGGCTGGATCATTTAATAGTCGTATTGTCAGTGCATTGAGGAACCTCTATAGTTACACCAGCTCACCCCATATAAATGTTCTACTCTCCTCATATGCTTGCTAGCATTACAAATTGCTTTTATTTTAGATGTATGAATGTTTACCTTCCTGTATGAAAGTGCACTCTGTCTATGCCTCTTACCTATGGAGGCTAGAGGAGGGTGATAGATCCCTGAAACTGGACTTCTACATGGCTGTGAGTTGCCAAGTTGATATCTGGTCTTCTGCAAGAACAGTAAGTGTTCACTGAGCCATCTCTCTGGCCCCAGCATTTGTTTTCTGACAGCCACTCTGAGTTGAGAGGGAGTCCCAAAGCAATTTTAACTTGTACTTTCTTTATGGCTAAGGATGTTGAATGTTTGTTAAAATATTTATTGGTAATTTCTAGTTCTCTTTTTGAGAACTGACTATTCAGTTCATTATCACACACATTAATTGTGGGAAATTGGGGCTTTTGGTGTTTAATTTTTGCATTTCTTTGTATGTTCTAGATAGTGATCCCCTGTCTGATGTACAGTTGGCAAAGATGTTCTCCTAGCTTGTAGATTCTTTTCAGACTCTGGAGATTGATTTTATGCAACCCAATTTGTCAGTTGTCAGTATTACATCCTGTGCTATTGGTGCCTTCGTCTTGAGGCGTTTTATCTTGCATTCCCATAGCAGAAAGCTTCGGATCTTACATTAAGGCCTTTGATCCACTCTGAACTGATGTTTGTATTAGGGTAAAAGAGACGGATGTAGTTTCATTCTTCGACATGTTCTTATCTAGTTTCTCCCTCACAATTTGCTGAAGAAGTGGGCATTTTTTTCTTATGTATGTGTTTGACACCCTTGTCAAAGATATGGTAGCTATAGGTACTTGGGTTTGTTTCTGGGTCAGTCCTCTATTCCAATCCTTTGGTCTATATGTCTTGTGTGTATGTGTGTGTGTGTGTGTGTGTGTGTGTGTGTATGTGTGTGTATGCGTGTGCGCACGCGCGCCACTGGTGGTGGTTTCTGGATGAATGAATTTGAGTTCTTCAGGTGATTGGACACACACACACACACACACATCCATATACAAAGAAGCACATTTAGGTGAATACAGGATGTTTGGTATGTTGGGGGTATAATGTGGGTTCAGGGTACCAGAAGGAAATGAAGGTGAGGAGGCATTCAGGCAGAGATAGTCTTGTGTGTCATGTGAAAAGCTTGGACCTGATCCCTGGATGAGCAGGGATTATTGATGGCTTTGAGTAGTCTGAATGTCTGTAAGTTTGTTTTGGTGGTTTTGTAAGGGATGAAAGGCTGGGAAGCTCTCGGTCTGGTTGCTAGGTTTAGAAACAAAACAAAAGGAAAAAAGAGTAATAAACAAAATGAAACACAGATGGTCCAGTTAAATTTGAACTTCGTATAGAGAACATTTTTAAGTGTGTGACCCAAATGTAGTACAAGATAGACAGAAAGAGATTCTATTTATCTAAGATTCAAATTCAGCTAGATGGCTTATAGTCTGTCTGTCTTCCACTGGTGATTTAGAACCATCACAGGGATGGCGACGGTTACTGGCTTGGGCTGCGATGGGGACGGAGTTTGATAGAAGTGGCAACAAACTTGGGATGATAAGGATGTACGAACACGAAAGAGAGGGAGGTGTGAACATGAGTGTGTCCAGTTTGGTTATTTAGCCACACCCTAAGCCTACCCGCCACACTCCCTGTGGTCAGGTGTCCTTCTAAAGCACGCCCAGTACTGTGGCAGCCGGGAACACAGCCATCTCTGCACAGCCCTGGCATTCCCAGTTCAGTCCCGCCTCCTCCATTTGTCATCACGAACCTCATCCCTTGCTTGACTCAGGTCATCTGCTAGGGGCTGGTGCCTAGGAAGAAACTAGGGTCTCTCTGCATTTCTGTTGCTTGCCTTTCTGCACTAGTGTGCAATACAACCAGGGGGTGCCCAGACTAAGTCTCACGGCAGAGCAGGATAGATTCCTTCCACCAGGGAGGGAAATTCTGGTTCATTAGTATTCTCCAATTTCCTTTGAGGCTATTTTTTACCTAAAGAAAGCTCAGAGCAAAATAGCATTCTGATTTCGTCAGGCTTCTTGTGGCCCCAAAGTGCCTCTGATTGGTCATGGAACGAAGGTGACTTGGGGCTGGTCTCTAGATCAGTGGAAATGCTTTACATTGGAATCAGAGATCCCGCTCCTGCAATTGGCCACGCATCAAGAGTGCTGTCGATGCTCATAGCCCTTATGGTTGTGGGTCACACGTTTGCTTGGGAGCCTGCTGGTGAAGAGCCCAAAATAACATCCAATGAATCAGCCGTTCCCTGGGTTCTCCTCGCTTGGCAAGACGTGGGAAGATGCTCCAGGATAAGCAACCTACTCAGGGCCTTCAGAATCACTAGCCTTCTTCTGTATCTCACAGAGCCTACCTTACAAATAAAGCTCCTTTTGTGTACACTTCCACCCAGAAAACTGATGTGGGTATGAGATCTCACAACATGGTTCCTCGTGATGGATACACGGTCAGGGCAAGCATCTAGACTGGCCATCTCAGCAGGTGACTGTCCCATTCTCCATTATACCGCCCTCCCTTCTGGAGTCACAAGAATCACAAAGAACCGTCTATCTCCTCCACAGAGCAGATTGGGAGTATGCAACAGGAGGCAATGTTCAGGACTCAAAGAAGGGGAGGTGAGAGAAAACCAGGCCTCAGGTGACTCTGTGCGCTGGCAATCAAGGCAGCAGTGTTAGGATCAGATCTTGGACACTAACAAGCCAGGTGTAGCAATCCGTCTTCAATAGGCCAACTAAACAAATAAGCAATAGTGAAAATTCACAGGAGAAAAGGGTTTTGAATATTCATTTTCAACTCTGAGCAATAACAGCTCACAAAGTATCTGTCCAAGCTAAAGAAAGTCAAATGCATAGTGTTTTTTTAAAAACCCTTCTAATACTTTTCAGATTGTAAGATTTGAGCCTCTATAAGGATCATTTTGCTGGCTCTGATCTCACGTTCCCATCTCTCTCCCTTGTCCACAGGGTCTCTTCTAGTTGTCTACTTGAAAAATGAATCAGGGATCACTTCATCTTTTCTGGGATTACCTCAGTTCCTGGAGCAGCTCCACAGCCTACAAATTTTCCAGAATTGTGAGCCTCTGGGGGTTTAGTGAATCAGGGGTGGGCGGCACTGTAGTCATGACCCTTGAGTTGTGCAATACCCTCGCTTCATTCTAGCAACTAATGAACGATGTTTGTCCAACCTCCTGGCTGAGGGGCTTGCGTTCTTCCTGTGTCTTCGAGCCACTGGCCTGCTCTGCTCCCCCCTGAGAAGCCGAGCTTTATAGCCCTATTTCCTGGTCAACTCCAACATACACATTGTGCACATACACACTGTTGGCTCAAAGTGAGGCGCCTGGACCAACTTCTTCCCAGCTAAGGGATCTATCTGCCTGCTGTGTACTAGCTCCATAAAACCCCGATCCCACAGTTCCCACAAGGCATTTGCCTATCTACTGTGTCTCTAACCTAATCATCTTCCAGGGACCTCCTTAAGCAGACGGAACTCCTGCAGTGGTGGGAATTTATCTTGTTCTCAGTGTATGGTGTGGATCCAACTCTGCACTCTCCAGATGGCTATCCAGTTGTCCCAGCACTGTTGATTGAGTGCAGACATGAGAACCAGTTCAGCACAATGAGAGGCTTGGACAGCGAGAAGCGCACAGGGACTGGGAAAGCGTGTGGGAACAGCAGGTGCACCAATTCCCATCCCCGCCATGCTCGCTCTAGCTGCGAGTGATTAGGGGTGAAGTGGCTGCACCAAGTCATATTTATCTTTCTGTTGGCCTTCTGAGCATTTATATGTGCATTTTATTGAGTTAAATGTTCGATGTCGTGGACTTACTAGCAAAGCCTGTGTAAAAGGGCCCAGTCTTCCCTGGTGGGGCTCAGAGCAGCCCAGGCTAGCTTACAATGTTGAGGAAAAATTCTGCAAAGGGCCGGGCAGTAAATGCTTTTGTCTGCGGGTATCTGTGGCAACTTCTCAACTCTCATATTGTAGTAAAACACAGTTAATAGGTAACATGGAAAAATAGCATTGTTGTGCTCCAGTCCGACTTATTTTCAAAATCAGATGGTATGTTGGATTTGGATCATGGTTTGCAAATCCCTGTGAGCCAATAGAACGGAATTCTACAGGATTTGTCCAGAGGCAAAATACACACTTGTCATACTGTATAGTATAGTACTAAACATATTCACCAAGAGTCCTTGTGGCTAGGCAGGTGGGCAAGGCTTCTGGCTAAGGTCCCTCCGTCTACTCTCATAAAGCAGGCTGTTTTGTCGTTCTGAGTTTCCCAGACTGTCCCTGAATTTAGTCTACATCTCATCTAGGCCCATTATACAGAGGTGTGTTCACTCCCATCAATCCCCTACCACCGACACCAGACGATACTGCAATTCAACGAGTTCACAGAATGCTCAGAAAAGATGGGTTTGTGGTGGTATGATGTTTTAAGTAAGAGAGAAACTGGGACATATACGCATTTACTTAATCTCAACCTGATTTATGCCTACATAGAGTGAGAAATTGCTGGTACAAAGTATTCTGAATTATGCCTGACGCAAGCAAATGTGTTCTGGAATCAACGTGAGATGTCACTCTGCCGCTCCTTGAGCCGGTGGCAGTTCTCAGGTAGGTTTTGTGATAATATCACTTCCCATGACTGAGCATAATGCCTATATTTAAAGAGAGCAGTGTGTGCCGGGCATGGTGGTGGCACACACCTTTGATCCCAGCACTTGGGAGGCAGAGGCAGGCGGATCTCTGTGAGTGAGGCCAGCCTGGTCTGCAGAGTGTGTTCCAGGACAGTCAGAACTACATGGAGGAAATCCTGTCTCAAAAACGGAGAGGGGGATAGAGGGGGAGAAAGAGGGAGAGGGAGGTGTAAGGGGTAGAAAGGGGGAGGAGGGATGGGTGCATATAAACTTGTATCTTCTGGGAACATTGGGAATACTCAAGGGACATCCCCCCGCCCCTGGGATCATTCAGTAGTTCCTTAAGTATCTGTCTTTAGAACATAAACCGAGTAGGTCATGACCCACTGTGAAATGGCAGGGATAGATACTGCTTCAGATAGAGGTTTGGGACTTGGTACACATACTTGGCAACCGCAGGCAAGAGAATGAGCTAGGTTAATGGAGAGTGCAGTGTAAACCCCAGCACACGGCACCAGTTTGTGGTGGAGCCAAGAAGCAAAGGGAGCCTGCCACAGCACCCCCAGCTAGTGAGGCTGGAGGAAAACTAGGGAAAGTGTTTTCCAAATTAGGTCACATTCATGGGTCCTGCGGATTAAGACTTGAACATATGCATTTGGAAGACTCTAATGCAACTCACAGCTACCGTCCACCTCTGTTCTTGTACTCCTCCAGCCACACGGCTTAGGGACCGTTCTGTTTCTTCCAAGTTCTCATTTGTGGTTCCTCCTGTCCACTCCCGCTCCTCCAGCTGGTCCAATCACTTTTATTCTCTATAGAAGATCATTAACTGTAGGCAGCAAGATTACCTCCCAACCGCGGTTGGCGCTTTCAAAATAACTGACAAAGGAAAATGCTATTTGATTTGGCATGGTGTTTTGTGGAATACAGGGCTGAAATCTCCACTGCCTTTAGATAGTTTCAATTTAATTTTGGAAAAAGGCTTTGTTTTTGTTGGCTGTTTGAGCTACAGTGGAAGAGAAATGATGCCAAAATAAGAAAAGAACTCGTTTTAAATGCTTTTAACTGAGAAAGTCATCCTCTGCTGCCACCTACTGGCCATAGCTGTATCCTGCATGTGATCCTTGTTCTTCAAAACCAGAGTCACTGTTACAGGCATTATTAGCTATAGCTCATTGTCAGTAAAGTGGTGTGTGTGTTTGGGGGGGTCGTTTTGGATATTTATACTCTGTAGAACTCTTCCTAGGGGGTACAGAGAATATGGGACATTAGTAATCTTCTTTGTCTAAGTTGGAGGAGAGACACCCCTCAATGTGAGGGTGAGGACATGGGACTCGCAAGGCCTCCGTCACCTCCACATTTGAGCAAGACACTGTGTTCATTCATCCCAACACACAGACATTTCATTCTTTCATGAAATAATGTTTTCATTAATCTTTTCCTGAGCATGACAAGCAATACAGGCTTGCTGGGAAACCTCTAGAAACCCAGAGAAACAGCAACGTTAACTAAAATCATTGAGGTTGGCAGCAAAGACTGACTGGGGGGCTCCCAGCAACACTCCCAAAGTCACCGTGGGTGCGCATATCATTTAGGGCAAAATTCTGCTTTCTGTATAAAGGCAATGGGCATCATCAAGACAAACCTTCCAGTTTCCCTCTTAATGGCCACCAAACGTCCCTCCATGCACATTCTGAAGTCGTCGTGATCGAAACTTCTGTCAACAGTTTAGCATGCCATTTCCTGGTATCAGTATTCACATGTACTAATTGAGCAACACAGCACGCCTCACAATGAGGTTTCCATACATGCATGCTTAAATCACATGTAACCTAATCACCCTTTCATTTTCCCTTCGTCCCCCTCTTTGGTGTCCCCTCCCCTCAAGTAGTCCCCATTCTACTTTTTTGAGTTCTTTACCTCTAGTTTGCACATAGTAGAAAGATGTGACCTTTTTTGTGAGACTGGCGTATTTGGTTTAACATGACCATCTCCAGTTCATCCAACTTTCCCATGAATACCCTGGTTTTGGTTTTCTCTGTGGCTGAATAAAGTTCCATTGGGCATACATAGCTCATTTTCTTTATCCATTCGTCTGTTGATGGCCCATCTAGGCTGGATTCATTTTCAAGCTATTGTGAATAGTGTACCAACAAGCATGGTTGTCCATAGCCCTGAGTACATCTACTTAGAGTCCTTCAGTATAGGCCAGAGTGGTATAGCTGGGCCATATGGTCATTGTATTTCCAGCTTTTTGAAGAAGCTCCAATCAATTTCTATAATTGCTGTACCAGTTTACATTCTTAGCAGCACTGAATACTCACCAGCATTTTTCTTCCTAAAAGCCCCTCTGACTGGGTTAGATGGAATCTCCAACATAGTTTTCTGTTTGTTTGTTTTTGTGGTGTTTTGAGACAGGGTTTCTCTGTATAGCCTTGGCTATCCTGGAAACTCACTCTGTAGAGCAGGCTGGCCTTGAACTCACAAAAATTCACCTGCCTCTGCCTCCCAAGTGCTGGGAATATAGGTGTGTGCCACCACCACCTGGCTGTTTTTTTAATAGTAGAGCAAATGTGGATTTATTAAGGAGAAGTGAGAAAAGTACAGGGAGGGCAGGGACTCTTTAATGTTCCTTGCACTGATGGCTAAAAATACCGAACATTTTCATATGCTTACTGACTAATTGTACCTCCTTTGAGAACTGTCTGCTCAATTAACTTGCACATTAAGAGGTTGGATTATTTGTTCTTTGAAAACCATTTTATTTATTGCTTCATAATATTTTTTGGTTTTTTTTTCTTTTTTCTTTTTGAGACAAGGTCTCTCAACATTGCTCTGGCTGACCTGGAACTCCCTATGTAGACCAGGCTAGCCTCAAACCCACTGGGAGTCACCTGCCTCTGCCTTCTGAGTGCTGGGATTAAAGGAGTTGCACCACCACCAACTGGCTCAATATTTGTTCTTTTGATGCTTATTTTTTGAGTGTTTTATCTATTTTAGAAAGGTACTAATTTATTTGTCAGAGGAATACATGGCAAATATTCAGTCATTCTGTGGCTGTTTCTTCAGTTTGCTTTGCTGCACGTCCACTATTTTTGTGCGTATATGTTATTTTAAAATTTGATTTTTGAAAATTGGGAGCATTTACATAACTATACATAGCCTGCCTGGCTTTTATACTTAATGTTACATCTTACCAGTTTTTTTATGACACAATTCTTCAAAAATATTACCTGATGAGGGGTGAGAGCTATATTTATCTATAGATACAAGGATAAATATTGGCAATACAGGAATTATGCTGGCTTAGTAAAGTGACAGAGGTTTTCCTCCAATATACATGAGTTTACTAGCCTTGGGGTAGGTGGCTAGGTTTTTCAGTACAGGCATGTTTTCTCTTGTTGAGTGGGCTTTAAGTCCAGTTATAGAGCTGTTGGTTACTGCCAAGATACTCATGCCACTAATGTACTTACTCTTAGGACTCTTGTGCCATGATGGTTGTTTTAGTTCATAGGTGTCATATCTGAGTAGGACTTTTAGTAGCTTCCCTACTTTGGAAGCTTACACAGCACCTTTTGGAACCATGAAACTAATCCTCAGGTCGGAGGCTTTCAGGTCAAATCTAGCTCTGATCATTTGGGTCTTGTGTCCAAAGTACATGGTGCCTTCAGCAATAGGGAGTTAACCTTCAACTTCTGGAAGGCAACCATGGTCAACAGCAACTATACTGTTTTGGAAGTTTCTTGGACTTCTTGATCAACAACTTAAAAGGGTTTTCATGCTTGGAATTGGGTTTTCTTTGTAACTAATGTAGTCAATTACTGAAAGCCACAACTGATCAAAATGTAGAAAACAAGTGATGGTACCTAGCCCCAACTGATACATGTACCACACAACTTCTGCCTCTAAGGCCCAGGGAACATCTCAAAAGAGATGGCAGAAAGTATATTATAAGACCCAGAGGAACAGGAAGTGAGATTGAGTCTCCTACAAATTTCAGGGAAGCTACACCTGTAAAGTCTTACCAATGTGGCTTTCTAAACAAGACTTGAGCAAAGTCAACAGCAATATACCTGATAACATGGAAGGGGGAGATATCATGGAGCCTGAACTCTAGACCAAGAACTATAGGCAACTAAGGAATGCTGAGAATAGAAGAAACAGTCATCCCAAGGCATCCCATTGGTTATCCAATACCAAGTGCTTAGCCCAGAAATCATATACATATAATTAATGTTATATAGACTGAGCAGGTGTATTTATATATGTAAATATGTGTATATGTATATCAAGAAGGAAAAGAGGTCATAAATTTGAGAGACAGCCAGGATGAGGGTAATATGGTAGGGTTAAAGTGTGAAAAGAGAAGGGGGAAGTTATGTGATTATATTGTAATTACAAAAAATAAAAATTAAAAATATTAGTTATTGGGGGATGATGAGATGGTTCAAAAGGTGAGGTGCTTACCACCATACCTGAGTTTAGTCACCAGAACCCACATGGTGGAAGGAGAGTACCCAACATCTACAAGTGACCTTCTCACCTACACACACACACACACTAAATATTGAAAAACATTAAAAGCATGTGTGGGGTTGAGAGTCTATCTCAGTGGTAGCATATGCCTAGCATGCTCGAGACCTTGTGTTCTAGCACTGTAAGAAAAATTACTTGGAAAAATCTCCATACTAACTTCCATAATATCCTATCCATAAAATTCTAGGTATTTAAAAATAGCCTGTCGATTGGATTCACTATGTAAATGCTTTCTAGTTTTTGACCTGAATATATGATTCTGGGTTAAATATTCACAGATGTATTTATGCTTGTTTTCCTGGCCTGTACCAATACTGCAATAATCCATGATAGAGATTATGGAATGCCAGGCATTGGAGAAGACGATGGGGATAGCTAGTGAGAAAGAAAAAAAACAGAATCTTGTTACCCACAGAAGTTCTGGTCTGGTGACAGTGTGGCTTTGATCAAATGGTGAATGTATAATTACAGACTGAAGAGGAGACCAGTCCTGACTGGGTGGTGGCCAAGGAAAGCTCCTCAAAGAATATGAGTTACCGTTGAGACTCAAGGTAGTTGTTGCTAAAGTAAGAAGGGCCAGAGTATTCCAGAGGGAAGTACAGTCAGTGCAATCCAAGAGGATTATGGGTAGCAATGCACAAGAGAAGACTTGCACCTGAAACCTTCAGGTCAGCAGGAACTTGTGGGTCCCTGTAAGCAACTGGACGGTTGCAAACAGAGGGGTAATGTGATCAGACTTGCCTTCTGAGGATCAGTGTAATTTTATTGAAGCTCTAATTTGGGGGAAAATTCATGACATACAATGTGCTGCCTTAGCCATTTTAATGTACACAGTTCAACAGTCTTAAGTGTAAACACATTGTGGTCCAAAAATTTTCCATCTTGCAACAGTGAAGTTCCATACCCACTGAAGAATTATTTCCCCTGTCCCCAGTCCCTGGGAGCCTCCATTTGACTCTCTCTATGACTTTACTACTCTAGGTGCCTCCTTAGTGGAATCATTTAATATTTATCTTTTTGTCATCAAAGTTCATCTGTATAATATCAGTAGAGCCTTCCTTTTAGAGACTAAATATTCCATTATTTGTACACACAACATACTATTTATTTCTCCCTTTACGGATGGATAATACAGTTGCTTCTGCCTTCTGTCTATTGTCAATAATATTATGAACACAAATGAGCAAATATGTCTTCGAGAACTTTATGTAAATTATTTTAGATATATATCCAGAAGTATGTTTGCTGGATTATATGGTAGTTCCATTTTTAATTTTTTGAGAATCCTTGTTAAGAAAAGTAAATTCAAGGGCCAGTGAGATGGTTTAGCAAGTAAAAATGCTTGCCACCAATTCTAACAACCTGAGTTCGATGCCTGGGACCTACATGGTGGAAGGCGAGAACCAACTCCTATGAAACGTCCTTTAACTTTATATTTGTGTCATGGTATATATATGTGTGTGTGTGTCTCTCTCTCTCACACACACCCAAATAAAATTTGTGAAATAAAAAAATTAAAAAGCAAATTCAGGGCTGGTGAGATGACTCAGTGGTTAAGAACACCCTGCTCTTCTATGATCTGGGTTTGATTCCCAGCACCCACATGGCAGCTCAGAGCTGTCTGTAACTCCAGTTCCAGGGGGTGTGATGCCACCTTCTGGCCTCTGTTGGCACCAGGCATACATGTGGTATATTACATGCTTAACAAACCTAAATTCAACACGATTTGTTGCCTGCAAATCAAAAGAAATGATAGTATTGCATGGCTGTTAAAAACTATCGTAAGCAGGGTAGTAGCCCATGTCCTTAGTCCCAGCACTTGGGAGGTAGAGGTAGGTGAATCTTGGAGTTCAAGGCCAGCCTGGTCTACAGAACGAGTTCCAGGATAGCCAGGGCTACACAAAGAAACAGTCTCTAAAAACCAAACCAAACCAAAAACTTAACTTCTTGAACTATATTAATGTACTCCACTAATCCCCCAGCTGCTCACATACAAACACGTAAGTTTCTCCAAAGTTAGCAGAACTCAGAATGAATAATTGTATACACATTTTAGGAACAAGTATTGCACACAGACTTTTTGTCGTCATGTATTTTCAGGAATAATTTTTGTTAACCAAATACTATTCAGCACTTGTCCTTTGCAAGGCTCTGTGGGAAAACTCTTGACATTCTCAATTTGGTTCCCTCTTTCTTGGGGCTTCAGGCCTGAGGGGCAGCGACACTTGGTCAGGTGGCGTTCTAAAAGTGGCCCAGAGGGCAAGTTCAAGGAAGGCAGGAGGTACGGTGCAAGGCAGCGTTTCTAGAGGAGATGATAGCAGGTTTGCTTGGGCCCGAACAGGAATTGCATACCAGATTTCTCCTGCATATCAGATATTTACATTATGATTCATAACAGTAGCAAAATCACAGTTATGAAATAGCGACAAAATAATGTTATGGTTGGGGGGGGTCACCACAACATGAGGCACCGTTACAGCATGAGGACGGCTAAGCTAGAGGAGGCAAGGGACTGACTGATAGGACTGGGCAGTGATGTAGGTTCATTTACGTGAGGGGAGCGCATAAGGACGTTGGGAGATGCAGGCCCAGAAGGGGGCAGAGAAGGCTCAGGCAGGGCTCTGAAGCCCAGGTTGAAGTAGGGCTTCTGTGGTGAGTGGGATTGAGAGGGCACTGCCGCAGGACGTTAGCGAAATGCAGCGATGTCTGAGATACACTGAAAGAATGAGGTAGGGTGGACGTCTCTAGCTGTGCGCCTCAGATCTGTGACAGCAGCTTGAATTCTGTGGGGCCCAGAGAGTGGGCAAAGAGGGCCCAGGTGCGGGAAATTTTGAATGTCTTAAACTTGGCTCCATTTCTTAGGGTGCCTCTTCATACATTTAAGTCCATCCCCCAACTCTCTTTCCTCTTTCCCCTTCCTCCCACCCCTCATCTCCCTCTTTCCCCCTTTCTTCCTTCCATCCCCCTTTCCTTTCTCCCATCTATCCTCCCTCAACTCTCTTCTTCTGCATTTTTGTCTGTTTTTCCGCTATCTTATCTTTCCTTTTTAAAAAAGTCTTATCTGCCGTCTGATCCATTTCAGTTTCTTTCAGAACCTTACAGAGTGGCCTGTAGTTAGTGCTTGATAAGTACTTGCTGAATTCTAATTGGTACGTGACTACAACTGGGGCTCAGGGGCCTGGAGTAGGCAAAGGCTGAGGCTTTGAGACAGAGGAAGCTATCTGGAGAAGCTGGTTAAAGTCTAAGCTGAGTATCGGCTACCAGCAGGATATTCAGCTGATGCTATGTGCTGGGGATGAGGCTAAAAGGAATTTAAAGGGGCCTCTCTGGTTTAGATGTTGAATGTTTCCTGAAAGTCCACGTGGAAAGAGTGTGGATCTTCAGGGTGATGATACTAGGAAGGTGTTGTGAAACTGTCTTCCAGGCGTGACCTGGCCATTGCCATCTTGGGATCAGAGCAGCTGAGATTGAGAGCCTCATGAGATACTCTATTATCATTTCTGAATAGGAAGTTTGAGGGGAAGGGAACGAGGCCTTCCCCTGAGATTCCAGACACATGCTTCCTCTCGTCCGTCCCTGCTTACACGTCATCTTGTCCCAGCAGCACATGGTTTAGGGAAGTGTAGAGTGTGTATAGGTGGTGGAAGGCTGCCTGGGGTAGACACTCCAGAGATGCAGCTCTTCTGAGTCATCACTTGTGCTGGGTGGGGCTTTGTGGTGATGCAGCTGTTGGTGAGTCACCCATGCCCCTGTAAGGAACTGGAACAAATGCACTCATCCACCAAACTAGACTTGGCGAGAATCAGTTCTTTGCTCTATTGCTGTCCTGCCTATCTTGGGGTAAACCGACTCTCCAGAAAAAGTAACACAACAGAGGCTACTGAAACTTTTAAGAGGTAGGGCTTAGTGGGGAGATCCTTCGATAAGTGGGGAGCATGAACTTCAAAGGACTTGCGGGACTCCATTCCTTTTTTCTGTCCTGGCTTAGAGACTTTGTTCACCACGAACTTCCCATGACTACCATCTGGCAACCCCCCCACCCCCAGGAAGCCAAAGAAATGAGGCCACTTGATTATGGACCAAACCTCCCAAATCAAGAGCTAAGTAAGTCCCCTCTCCTTTAATTATTTCAGGTATCTTATTATAACAAGGGGAGCACACACCTATATTTATTCATTTTCATTTCAGTGGGGGAGATAACAATTGTTCCTAACAGCCCAATTCAGACTCTGGGGTCACATTCTACTCAGTCATTAGCAGAGTAAGTTATGTCTCTTTGAGCCTTTCCTCAACTGGAAATGGGGATAAGTAGTAGTTTATAAGACCACTGTCAGGGCTAAAGGTGATGAGAAATAAAACAGTATAGCACCATGATAGCTCTTGTGAAAGAAAGGAGCAGGGGAAGGATAGGGAGGGAGGGAGGGAGAAAGGGAGGTGTCACTCTATCACTCTTTGGACAAGAGACACCCATAGCTTCTTGTTGCAAACAAAATCAAATGGAACTCCTGTCCTTGACTTTCCAGGCTGTCTGCGATCTAGTCCCCAGCTATCTCTTGTCCAGCACAACCTCCCCGTCTGTCACTGCGCTCTGCCTGGCTGTTCTCGGAACACAGCAAGCTGTTTTTCTGCCTTAGGACCTTTCTTCCCTTCTTTTGTTGAGATGTAATCTTGGCTGGAGCCTGAATGTTTGGATTCTGTGGTATGTATTGTGTCACCGCCATTCAAATACAGATAAGGTATCTTTTAGCTTCCAGGGAATTTGGAAGATTACCGACACATCCTTGAAGGCACCGTCCCTGAGCGGGTCCTCTTGCTGTTGTACTGTCTGTTGCTCGAGCTACTGTGTTCTCTCCATGGTGCTTGCGATGATCTGCAGTTGCTCTGTGAACTATGTGCGTGTTGTCTCCACCCCCAGCTGCTCCACCCTCCCATGGAAAGCATGTGTCTTGTTTACTTCTATGAGTCTAGCACCCTGAATAGCAACAGTACATATAGGTACATATAGGAGGCACCCAAGAAAAGTTATCAAAAATGAATTATCAAAATGAAGATGCAAGAGGAAGTATCATGGTTGATGGGCCCGGGGTGGGGGGAGTCTAGCAAGGGTGGGCGGAGAAAACTTTAAAGGCACAGATGGAAGAGTTGGCCTTAGCGTGGAAGGACGCCACTTACTTCTGAGATAGGTAAGAACGAGAGGGTGAAGACAAGAGATACTGTCATGTGCGGGGCAACTACTTGAGAGGGCTGCTTCTGCCAGATGGCTTTGACATGTCACAAAGGGTATGGTTACCTCCTGGGAGCTGAAGGGCAGAAGAGGGGTCTGAGCTTGGAAGTCAATTGTATATTAGAATAATTAGGTTGTCATTTATTGAGCACTTGTTTACAAGGGGCTGTTCTAAGCCTTTAAAATATATTAACTGAATGTGTCATCACCATGAGTTGATGAGAAGGAGGACTATTATTGCTTCTATTCTAAGGTTGGGATCACGGCAATTTGGATATATTTTGAGTGTATCAAGCCAAAGTTCATGTATTATAAGCTTGGTCCCTGGTGTTAAGATGGCAGGAATCTTGAAGAGGTGGCACTGAGTCATTCCTGGGGATGCTGCCTTTGAAGGGGTTTAATGTAGTTCTCAGAAGATGTAGGTTTACTCTAAGTGGGTTGCTGCTAAAAGAGAAGAGCTGCCCCCTAAAACTCTTGCTTCCTGTGTGCCCTTTTCCTATTGCAGTGTGCCTTACATGATGTAATCCACTATGATGTGATGTAGCCAGAAGTCCCTCACTATAGCTGAGCAGATTCCAACACCATGCATGACACATCCAAACACTGAGCTGTAGGAACTTCTGTAGATAAGAGCCCAGCCTCGGGTAGTTGGTTATAGCAATATAAAATGAACTAAATATATATCAATTTTGACTTGCTAATTATATAGCAGTGGAGCTGTGGAAAATGTGGAACCAAGGTGGCAGGGGTGGGGTGGGGAGAAGAGACAGAGATCAATTAACTTTTGCCTAAGGAAACGCACCATACACAGCAGATCTGGGATTTGAACTCATGTTGGAGTCTACATGGAAAGGCAATAATATTTCCTATCTCTTTAGTTCTTAGTGGAACATGTAAGAGATGAGCTAGATGTGGATAGGAAGCTCATGGAACCACTTGTGATGGACACAGGGGTAGTCAGCCATAATGCCATGAAAGAAAGCCAAGGAATGGGAGGAGAGAAAGTAAATGGGACAAAATGGTGAGCTAGTGTTCGGCACAGCAAGCTGGGATCTGAGGCTTTCTGAAATGTGAGGCTTAAACTGGGAAAGAATTCTCAGCTCATTGAGAGGGGTAAATTCACACATGTGTATGTGGAGAGAGATTCATTCCATAAACTCTGTGACTCTAGAGAGCCCTGACTAATATATCAAACCTCCTAATGGCATGACCCTTTAATAACCGTTCGCCATGTTGTAGTGACATCCAATCATAACATTTATTTCATTGCTACTTCATGACTGTACTTTTGATACTTTTATGAATTAATCAGTCAAAATAAATATCTATGCCTCTTAAACTACCTAATCTTGTCTATGGCCATACCACTCTGAACATTCCTGATGTCATCTAAATTACCCAATTCTCATGTATTCTGTTATAGAGACAGAATGTTGAATAAGATACCTACCTATACACCTACTCTGAAATTTGGAGGTGAGTTATATTCTTCCTGGTAGTTCTTAATCTCTCAGGTGATTCTGTGTAGTGTGAAGACCAATGTCCTAGGATGCTCTAAAGATACTTTTATGCCTACGACCTGAGAGGGAAATCTCACTCAAGGGTCTTAAGTGGGGCCATGGCAGTGGGAATTTTTAAAGGGGGCAACCATTAGAATAGCTTGCAGGTGTTGCTGATGCTGCTTGGGGACCACAGTCTGAGAACCATAGCTGTAGATGACTACTATGAAGGTCAGGACTGAGAACCACTCACCTAAATTGCAGATGACACCCCCCAGTCTGGCCCTGTCATGGCTTGAAAGCAGGATTTGGGAGCAGGCAAACACCTTTTCTTTACCAAGGGAGTTAGAGGGATAGGAATAGTTTCCCCAGAACAAAGGCGATGGAAAGTAGCACTGTGGGCTAAGAATCAATTCAGGGAAGGAGTTAGAGGTGGTCCGGGTAGCAAGGACCATAAAGCAGGGAGAGGCAGAAGTCAGGCACACCAGATAAGGCAGAGCTCCTTAAAGGGAGCAAGAGGCTAGAAGGGAGGATGGGGAGGGCAGCCAGTGTGGCTCCCAACGTTGTACAGCAGCCAGGTGTTTCACATGGGTGTGCTTGTTGTTCAATTTTTTAAAAATTTGAGCATGTGTAACTGAAGAGATGTCTCAGTTAAGAGCTGGTACTTTTCTCAGGAGGATCTGAGTTCTGTTCTCAGCACCCACATCAAGTAACTCACAACTACCTAAAAACACAGCTCCAGCTCCAGGGGATCCGAGGCCATCTTCTGCTCTTGTGGGTACCTGCACATATCTGCAAGCACATGCACACAAATGAAAAAATCAAACAACCCCAATCAAGACAGGGTCTTGTTACTTAGGTAAGACTAGCCTTCATCTCAGCATATAACCCAGGCTGGCTTCTAAATTGGTTTGGTCTCCCAAGCAAACAGTGGGCATTACAGATTATACCACCATATTTAGTGTTAAGTTATATCCCGATTCTACTTTCTAAAAGATTCCTGTGGGCCATCATGATGGGCCAGTGAGTGACAGGAACTTGTCACACAAGCCTGACAACCTGAATTCAATCCCTGAATCCCAGTATAAGGAGAGAACTAAATCCTGAAAGTTGTTCCCTACCCTCTTCCCCCACAATAATAATAATAATAATAATGATAATGATGATAATAATAATGATATAATACTAATAATTTAAAATGTGTTACAGGTAAGGTCTGAAATAGAGGCATAGGTGTGGTATGTGACAAGTCAGATGGTGGAGAGCTGAACAGACTGAGTACAAGCTGGTTCTCGTCTAGCTGACAAGGTTATTATCATTAAGTAAGAAATCTTAAAGCCTTAGGTACAGTCAGTTTGATAGCAACAGAAAGCTGGGAGTGGGAAATCTATATAGCAGCTTCTATGTGCCGTGCTGGCAATAGTGCATGGCACATATTAATGTACTTTCCATTTAACAATGTCAGACCTCGAAGGCCAGGAGAAAGTTGGGATATTGTTCTAAATGTACCGGGCCATGTTTCAGGTTTTTTTAAAACAAGGAAGTGATGAGACTGATGTAATTATTCCACATAAGGTCAGTATTATACTTGTTTCATTTTACAGGCAAGGAGACTATAGGGTAACTAGTCCAAAGTCACGCATAACAAAGAAGCGGCAGAAACTGAATTGAACAGCAGACTCAAGGCAACTGTGGTTAAATGTTAACTGGTGAGTGTAGGTTAAGGTTATGTAGGGTGGTCACTGACCCATGTCAAACTGTGAAGCAAAGCATGGCAGGTCAATCATTGTCCCCTCTGAAACTCCCTATTTGAACAATGACAATGGATTAGATCATTTACTAAAGCTCTCTCCTTAACATTTTGTGGTTTTATAGTTACACTGCTTAGCTACGGATTATTAAACCACACCGAGAGCCGGTTCAACTTGCCTTGCAACAAAAAGGCTCTAATGGGGTCCCTATAACATGAGAGCAGCAGGGATGGTGCAGATGCAGCCTCTCTAACTTCAGGCAAGGACAGCTATGGTGCCTGCTATACCATATACCCCCTGCTACAAAGAAACTGCTGGGTGTCAGTCTCCATTCACAGAAGGAAACGCCTTCTTCTGCTAAGCGTTTGGGTGGAGCTAGAACCCCCCCCCCCCGACGATTCCTAACACTGAGTCAGCACATGCATCTGGCAGGCTCACAGAGGGAAGGAACTGGAAAAAGGCCCTGGTTGAGAAGAAACCTCCGGCTGAAGTGTCTTCAGTCTTAAGGGGAATGAAATCGGAAGCCACACTTCATGCTGCAGACGGGCCAAGGGAACAGTGGTGTTCTGTTGAGCTGGGAAGCATCCTCTCCAAGTGCCAGAGAGCTCATACCAGAGCCAACCCAAAGTGTTTGTAAATTTATGCACCTTATCACCCCAAGTACTAAGCTGGTTTTCAGAAGTTATAAAATGAATGATGTGCAAACAGGCTTTTTGGGAATCACATCTGATCTACCTGGGCTGAGAGCAATGGCTCCTCTGAAATGTGTGTATGTTAAGGACTTGTCAGACTTCTGGAGCTGGTGAGAGCATGGATGTGACCTTTATAGGATTAGGAATCAATATCCACCTGGGCAAGATAGTGTGTGGTATGACTACAGCACTAGCTACAAGGGAGGCTGCATCAGAACCATTGATTGAGTGGAGAAGTTCAAGACCAGCTTCAGCAATATACTAAGATTCCATTGCAGATCCCATCCCAGGGGATGGGGTGGGATGTGTAATGGAACAGATGAACTCACTGTTGCCTGAAACCTTAGGGTCAAAATAAGGATCTTTGATGGCCCCAAAAGTACATGACTTTTTTTTCTTTTCGACACAGGGTTTCTCTGTATTGCTTTGGAGCCTGTCCTGGAACTTGCTCTGTAGACCAGGCTGGCCTAGAACTCACAGAGATCCACCTGCCTCTGCCTCCTGAGTGCTGGGATTAATGGAATGCGCCACCAATGCCTGGCTAGTACATGACTTCTTTATCAGTCTCTGAAAATACATGGCTTCTCATCTCTTAGGGAAAATGTTTTTATTTTTTCATTAAACAGATCTATCTATCTATCTATCTATCTATCTATCTATCTATCTATCCATCCATCCATCCATCCATCTATCTATCCTGCTATAACTCCATCTCCTGGGGATCTAATTACTTCTGCAGGCAACTGCACACATGGTATGTGAGCTGCCAGATGTGAGTGCTAGGAACCAAAGCTGAGTCTACTGTAGGAGCAGTAAGTGCACTTAACAGTTGAGACATCTCTCCAGCCCCAATTTTATTTATCTGTGTGGTCATGCCACAGCA